ATGAGGCTCGCGGGGGACGCAGTGGGGCGGCGAAGGGGCGCGCCGCGTATGCCCATTGACGCACGTCAAGAGGGCGACAAAATGCACCCAGAGCGCCCCCTTCGCCCCCACCCCACTCCACGACGGCCCCCGCCACGCCCCAGCTCGGTCGTTAGCTCGACTATCCGCTCGACTCCATGACGCCCCGCCGCCCGGTCCGGGGCGGTCAAGTGATCCGTCACTATACCACTAGAACCGACTACAAGTGACACGTCACTACCACTTCTAGTACCAACGATGGTGCCCAGTACACTGCAACAAGTGCCAACGTCACTGCCACTCGTGACAAGTTATATACTGTAACATTCATCATGATTGCTCTGCTCGAAACAATTTCTATTCTTCTTCAGAGGAAAAACAGACCCTCTCTCTTAAAAAACGAACTGCACGGCTTTCCTTTCATCGATTTTCCCTAAGAAATTAAATTTGTCACCGGCACCCGCCAGGTTACATTTGACTGACTGGGGCACAAGAGAGAGAGAGAGAGAGAGAGAGAGAGGAACCTCCCCCTTCTCACTCAACGCCGTTGATCCAATTCAGGTTTCTAATTTTCCCCCGCTAGGTAGGTCTCCTATATGTCTTTCTCCACGCAAGGCATCTCTCCCCCCCCCCCCCACACACACGGGCGCTGTGGTGGTATTACCCTAATGGGATCCTTCGGTGCTTTGTTTGTGTTTGAAAAGCGCGGCACGGCGGGGAGGATATGAGGCCGTGTGTGTGTGTGTGTGCGCGGTCACGAGTGTGTAGATGTGTGTGTGTGTGTGTGTGCGTGCGCGCGGTGGTTGGGTCGGTACTGCCAGACGCGCCACTTGAGAGGGTAAGTGAAACCAAACTCCGGGCGGTTGCCCGCTCGGTTGCCCGGGCCCTGCCCGCCGTGCCCGCGGCCCGGTAACCGGAGGCGGGCTATATATGCCAGGCTAGACAAGACAAGGCACCTGCAGAAGCGAATCCAAGGCCGCGTGTCTGAAGGGGAAAGACTTTGCATCAAAAGTTCGCACAGAATTATTGAGGTACGCCAAGCAGCAGCACCTATAATTGCACCCAATCTGTGTCATCAGTGAATGAGACATCATAGGGTTCTCGTTATACCTTTATTCGAACATTACACAGCCTTGACGTGCACTTTGTGCAACACAGTCTTCACACAAAAATGTGCTCAGCGATCGGGGTGGGCTCATTTTTGTCCATGAGCCACATGAGAATTACACTTCAGAAACAATACACGGCTGCAAAAATCATCTATTAAAAAAGTAAAAACACTATTCATGGCAGCGATTATGACAATGAAAAATGTGAGTGAAAAAACCACAAGGGCAGAGTATTGAATGTGACAATATGCGTTTGTTTGATTCCTTGTGCTACGGAACTGGTGAAGTTCAAAGTTCCGCTATTTATAAATGAGAAGTAAATTTATCTCCTTCACCAAGCTAAAACATTTAAAATTAAATAATCTACACATTTCATTCATTAATTTAGACTAACATTGTTAAAAGAGCTACAAAATCATGACAAGGGTAAATTAAAACAAAGTACCTCTAGTTTGTCTTATCACAATTGTGTGTTGCAGGTTTTCGGTGACTTTCCCTTGTGATTTCTAACAACTATTAAGCATCCTAAACTTCAGTAGTAACAATAGTGGAGTTTCCCCGGAGCCAGGGCACTTTACAGGTACTTCTCAATGTGAGAGATCAGTTTCTGAAACAAACAAAAAAACACAGTCCGTTTTAATATTCAGCCACTCCCCATAACTTCACCCATCAGCCAATAAACAATAGTGAGCTCGACTTACGTGTGGCTCCGTAGTGGGGCTGTGTCGCTCCACGGGCTGGCCCTCCTTGTCGACGATGAACTTGGTGAAGTTCCACTTGATGAAGCTGAAACAAGACGAGACGAGACAGCGTCGTAAAACGTTTGCAGTAAAACGGTCATGAATTATGCAACGCACCAATCTGCTCACAGAGAGAATAGTGATCAACAGCATTCCCTAGGTGCTCGCCCCGCCCCGCGGAGGCGAGGAGGGTGAAGCGCGCCCCCCCCCCTTCTTTTCTGAGATTCCAACCCCCCGACCGTCATAGTCTCGGCACCGAAAATGGATCGGCGCGTGAAGAAGATACTCACTCTCCGAAGGTGCCGCCCTGCTTGTTCTTCAGGTACTTCCAGAGGGGGCTGGCGTCGTCGCCGTTGACGTTCACCTTCTCGAACAGGTCAAAGTTGGCGTTCTGCTTCTTGGCGAAGCACACGATGTCGTCGGCCGTGCCGGGCTCCTGGCCGTTGAACTGGTTGCAGGGGAAGGCGAGGATGCGCAGCCCGCGCTCGCGGTACTTCTCGTCCAGCTCGACGAGCTCCTTGTAGTTGGTGGCCGTCAGCCCGCACAGCGAGGCGATGTTGACGATCAGCAGAACGTGGCCCCTGCGCACCAAGAGAGATATACCCAGTCAGAGAGTGCATTCAAACAAATTCACAGACATGCGAGAAAATAAATAAGGAACACAACCAAATACTCTGCTCAGATATTTTACAGTCCAATTTTTTTTTCGGAAAAAATTAAAATATTCCCAGAAGAATTTGAAAAAATAAATATTCAGGAAAAAATTCAGACGTTAAAAAAAATATACCTGTAAAATGTTCCCAACATTACTTTTTTGGGGGGAAAACTAAAGTCCCTCCACGACAAATAGTATACAAGAAAAATTAAACGAAAACAAATTCAGGATGTACAAGCTAAGCATACACAGAAGTGTAAGAGTTTGCCACCACGACTTGCTATGAAACCCGGCCACATTACACTACTTACTTGTACTTGTCTAGGCTGACGTCGGCGCCAGTGATGTCCTTGACGCTGAAGTCGTACACAGACGAAGCGCTCTTCCAGTCGGCCATCTTGGCGCTACCCTTGTCGGCGATGCTCTGCAAAAAGGCGAATAAGCGAACACGTCACGTCAGCGCGGATAGAGAGCGACCCGGACCTCGCCACAGCTTCGACTCGACTGCGCCGGCCGCCGGGTGACCGGGAGCCCATATAGGGCGGGGCCGGGCAGGGCCCAGGTGGCGTCCCGTCACCGCCACCGCTCTCAGTGATAACGCACCGATAACGTCATCACAACACACGATCAGGCGCGGGGGGCAAAGGGCTGTGCCCGGCCCGCGGGGGCAACACAGGCGCCCCCCGGGGGCCGGGCACTACACTAGAGAGACCGAGTCATGCGCGAGATCTAAGAATAATAGAGCGTATTATTGCCTATCGAGTGCGAGAGAGATGGGGGGACCACACTGTAAAAATTCTTTGTCACGGTGTCGTCATGGGTTTTTTCGTCACATCACGAGGGTTGTGACGAGAAAACCCATGACACGACACCCCTGTACTAAAAATAAGCCATGGTATTTTCCTCATCGTGACAAATAATTTTTACAGTGAGCCGCGGGAAAAAAGCTCGCATTAGCACGCTGAGTCACAGGAGAGGGGGGCAAGGGGACTTTTACATGCTATGATACAACCATACGTGTGGCCATGGGACTCAAGGAAACAAACGTGTTCGGCTCATGGGCCAAAGAATTAAGTATTTTAAAAGGGTGCGTCTTTTTTTCTTCTTCAAAAGAGCATGTCAAAATATGCATAACCTGTGCGAAATTTGATTTTTTTTTATTTTTTTTTAGCTCTGCGGCGATGGCCATCGCTCTAACGAGTATGCCACTTTTTGCTTTCAGAGCGAAATGGAATGGCCAATGCCCTCTTTAATCTAAGATTCCAAAACGACGAGCCCTCGTTCGCCCCCAAAGTGGACTAATTGTTTTCACGCCGACACGAAATCAGTGATGCGTGAACATGATCTCATCGAGGCATTTCCCCAACTTTTGGGCATCCTCCTATACGCCACCGAGCCTCCGCCCTGCTCCTCCACCTCCCGCCCGACAAAATGATAATTCCCTTTATAAACGATAAGTCAATTTCCAGGAGAAGAGGGAAGAGGCGAGAGGGGGCGAAGAAAGGCGAGAGCGCGGACAGGTGGCAAAAGTGACAGAGCACCCTGACTTCACTCCAGCCAGGCCGCCCCCGCCCGCAGCGCAAGCGCGAAAAGAATTCTTGCCGACTTTTTCCCTCTCTCACCTCTGGGGGAAGATCCCCCCCCCTCCCCTCCCGCTGTGCACAGCCAATTACGCATCCCACGCACGCGGACGGAGGTGCCAATCTACTAGAACGCAGAAAACAAAAGAGGAGGGGGGGGGGGAGCGACCAAAATCGTGCGGGGAACACGACTAGACGTAATAAAAAATTCGCTCTGCAACCAAAACAAAAAAAATGTTGGGTAATAAGATGTACAGGGGAAGGCGGGGGAAGGGGAAGAGGAGAAGTGCGGACGCCGGAGATAAGGCAATAACACGTCGTTCAATAAACACTGCTGCACCATGTGGCCAACTTTTACACGTAACGCGACAAAAGGTGATAAGGAAAACGAAAACGTCACCTCGTTTACGTAGACGCAGCAAAACTGATGCAGTCCGGGAGTAACCCACTGCAGCCCAGCATCAGCGGGGCCACGTCAGAGCGAAGGAGAAGGGGAGGGAAGGGGGGAGGGAAAGGGGGCGGATCGCCGAAAAAGAGCCGAGTCACGACTGCGCTGGGTCATTCACACACAAACTGGGCTAGGTGGTCTCGCCGGGCGCTGCGGACGAGATAAGTAGCCCTTCGCGATGTAGCGGCCCAGCGGCCGCAAAGAGCACAATCTCGTAAGCCCGGCCCTACAGGGATCGACTGTTTTTGGAAAAGACAAGTTGATTGGTGCGTGGAGCTCACCCCCCCCCCACCCCTCCCCCAACATGTCGATCGAGATTTTTTAGAGTAACTTAAGAATGACGTGACTATTTTGTACAATGTTCACACTTTTGCGCCTCAGTTAGATGGGTGACGCATCCCAATAAACCGACACTGTATCCAAAAGGTGACCCACCATAAAAAAAAAATAAAAAATAAAGAACCCTTTTTACTATAAACCTTGTCACCAATCTTTTCAAAATTTTGAAAAGAAAAAAAAAACATGAAAAAGTTGTAAATTTTAAAACAGTTTACATTTTTGTGTTCTTCGCCCTCCGCGCATGATCGTGCGATCGCGCGGTCAGGGCGACACGGGGAGTGGGAGCGAGCGAGGAAACACGACGATAGAAATCATTACGATTTCAGGAGCGATTTTACCACCAGCAGCAGCAGCTCGCCGCGCGTAGCCGCGCGGGCACGGCACGCGAACACGGGCAAGGCCGCTGCGTCGATACAATCTCATCGATTTATATCGATTCAGCGCGGGGCAGCCCGCGCGACTCTTATGCACCCCGCTGCTCTACTCAGTTTACAAAAAACTTTAACATTTTTTTTTTTTGGGGGGGGGGGGCAGAGTTTTAAACGGCTGCCTAGATTAGGCAATAGGGTCGCCGAGGTTCCGGCCGCCGTCAGCAGCGCTCTCGACAGCCAGGAGCCAGCCAGCACGGCGCTGAGCGCCCGCGTCAGCCAGCCGCGGCAGGCCCGCCTCGCGGGGGAGACCAACGGATTGCCTACCAACCGGGCGCCCCCGAGCTGCACGGGGGAGGGTTGGGGCAGAGGAGGAGGAGCAGGGTCAATTCAAGGCCGCAGAGCACCTAACTAACTGCCAGACGGTGACGTGGCCCGGCTCGGCCCCAGGCTGAGCGGCTTGGACTATAACCCAGCGACGAAAACAACCGTACGGGTGACTCCCAACTCAATCTCTCCCTCTCCCCTTCCCCCTCCCCTTCTCTCTCTTACTCTCTCAGTACCGCCAGAGCGCCGGCGGTACTTACAGATTAACGCGAGCGCGCTGCAAGAAGGACGACCTTGGCGCGGGTCAATAATTAGAAGATCGAGGGGGGCGTGGGAAGGGGGCGTTTCCTCTCTCGCCAATATTAAGTCCTATAATTTGCAAAAAAAAAAAAAAAAATGTGACAGGGGACGCCAGCCAGCAGGTGCAATAAAGATGGAAATGTTTCCACTGCATGTCTAATATTAAGACAAAAAATAACAAGAATTCTAATAGAAAGTTTTATGGTTGGGGGGAAAGAAAAAAGAGCTTGCAGTGCACTTTCTGGCTCAAGAATCTTGATTACTACTAGATAACTACGCCGGTTAAAAAACCAAAACGTTAGGAGCATTTGGGGACTAGTTAGTAAAGATTGTTATTTATTCACATCTTAAAGCAGGAGAATCGATATAGATAGTTAAAACTTGTACGTTGGTAAAGTTATTTAAAGCAATATAATACAGCAGTAAAATAAAGGATCAGTCTCCCATGCCTACAACGTAAAAGGAAATATATCAAATATATATGAAATCATGCAGTAACTCACAGTGGTAACAAATCGGGTGCCGAAGAATTGAAGAGAGCAAACAGTTGTGCCAACTTTTAATAAGTTCCATCCGTGGACTCTCATTCTGTGGGGGATAAGACCAACACCTCAAAAGCTGACAAAATATTCAAATGTCACATATATAAATCTGAATGTTTGCATCCTTCACCTCCTCCTCTCCTGTCCTAACACCACTATGGCAGTTCAAATGGATGTCATCAGAGATAGAAATCAATATTGCTGAATAATAAATACCAAGTCAAACAGTCCAATTCATAAAAGCGCTCCACCTCAAGCATAAATGTAGGCAGCACAAGAAAAATTGGTGAAGCATGAAACATGCATACAATAATCAAGATACTGATATGATACTGTTATTAATGCCAGAAGAAAGTGATGCCTACAGATTTTGATTTCACACTTATTAAAAGAGTGATGCAATTCAATTACCAAAATTTATGGCATCTTTAAGATGGATTGTATTTATCATTTTTTCCAAACGCACAAAGACAGGGATATTTATAATTTTAGAAACGATATAAAAGTGAAAAGTACTTTCTGAATCGCATATTTCAGCACATTGGCTGACAAATATAAACAAAACTAGATAGCAATGGTGGAGTGTTACATAACCATGATAACCATCATCTTGCTTTGGAAGCGTCCAACTGAAATGACATGACATAAAATTTGACCGGGCTTTATCTATTGTGAGATGGTTTGGAATGCCTCAAGAGGCATCAACACCGTTTGATATCGTCCATACGAATATTGAATTTTAATAAAATTATAAATAAAAACGAGCCGCTAACCTGTTTGACAGACGAAAACGCGGCCGCTCACAACAGCGACTGGGTCAGGCAAAGATGCACAAAGGACTGACAGGACAGGCTGACGAAGGACACGCGATACTCCGGTGTGGCCGTGTGACAACACCCAAGTCAAAAGTCAATAATCCAATGCAATACACTTCGATGGAAGACTGGAAGGGGGGAAGACCGGATTAAAAACGTGGGGGAAGTGGCGATGAGATGACAAGGCTGAAAGAAAGCGGAAACGGGAACGGGGCGTGATAAAAAACATTGTACCGGAAACGACTTTGTTTTGTTTGCATTCCCATGTGGGTATAAACTCCCAGGTCAAGCAGAAAGCATATACAAGTTTCGTTTTGAACCATAAGTCTAAACCAAACTTAGAAGCCTGAACTCACCTCGAGAACTTGAAATGTGTCATTGTCATGTCTGGTTCAGTTCAAAATCAGATATTTGTTAAGTAGTAAGGTTAAGTATAGTGCTGTCACCTTTTTTCAGTGAAGACTAACCTAATGGCTCTCAACGTTAAACCAAAGTTTGGAACTGCGTTGTCGCTGTCACTTGCTACTAGAACTGATGTAAGATTATGACCCTAGATCATTCATGTTCCCTCACTATGACATCCAGAAGCTACATTGCGTCTCTATCTCAAGATGCTCAATCATGCCACGTTCAAAAAGTGTTTGGTGAGTGACTACTTGTATTTATTGTAATTAAATTTTGGTGGATTGTTTCATTATTCATACTTGTTGTTTTAGGGGACAAACTAAATGATGAAGAGAAACTGCAAGTTTTAGAAGCTCTCATGTCAACATGTCAGCAGAAAACTAGCCCTCAGTTCCCAGACCTGGATGCAAATGATCTTGAGCGTAAGACATCAGATGCCTCTACGTCTTGCAAATTAGAGCCCTCTGAAATATTGACAGAAATTTATCTTGTATCCTCAGCAGGCCGTTACGATTGTAATGTGTGTGGGAAGAAAAATAAGTCTTCTAGTCAATACTATGGCCACTTGAAGAAACACAAGAATGATAATTTCCAATGGACATGTTCTCAATGTCCGGAAGGGACATCAATATTTCAGTCACTTTCCCTTCTAAGCAAGCATAAAAAATCAAACCATATAGAGTTAGGAAATGATAAGCTCCTGAATGTATGTCTACCCAAGTTTTATTTTAAAAATTTGGAAACTACATTATCCAGTTCTAACTGCTATCACTTTTTGTGTCAGGTTGAGTTTGGCGAGACCTCTGTGAGAGAAACTCATGAAAATAAGAAACGTTTCGCTCAATCTCAATTCGCATGTCAGTTATGTGATAAAAATTTCAATAAAAGGTCAGATCTTAAAGTTCATTTGGCCTCTCACTTATCTCTAAAAGGCTGTGTGTGTGAAGTTTGCGGACGCTCCTTTAGTCATATGAGCAACCTTATCCGTCATTCATATGTGCATACAGGTAGAATAGGTTACATTTGGATATCTGAAACCAAGTAACTGAAAGCTCTGAATTTATATACTCACTAAAATTTGCAGGTTTTAAACCTTATCCATGCAAAGTGTGCGGAAAACGTTTTACTCAAGTAACATCTCTTAACCAGCATAGCATCAGTCATCACAGCAATCAACGAAATCCTTGTCCAGCTGTGCCAGAAAAATGTGATAAATTGTTCCGCACTCCTGCAATAGCAAAGCAACATGCATATAGAGTCCACCCTGACGTACAGTGGGAAAATGTTGATCCTGTCAGTGTGTTGTACTGTGTACTGTTGTGATAAGAATAATATCATTTTCAGGATATCATCATTTTTGATTGTTTTGTTTGTAGAAAAATTTAGACAAAAAAAGGAAACGCAAATATTATTGCAGACACTGTGGAGAAACATTCCTGTCTACCAATGAACTAAAGTCTCATTTTACTCAACACTACAAAAATGAAGTGAGAATATGTAAGGTAAGGCAACATTTACAGATCAAATTTTTTTAATCTGATTTAAAATTAAAACTAATTTTGAGTTTAGAATTGTATAATCTCAATTTTGCCTTTTGGTTTAGATAACATGTATCAAGGAAAATCTTGATATGATTGCTGAAACTGGTCCTGATAGTGTGATAGAGATAAAGTTATTGGACAGTTTTGAGAATGAGGTGAACAACAGCTCTACCAATGAACTAATTGAAGATTATGGTGATCATGTCAGTAAAAACCTAAGCAGTGACCAAAAAGATTTACCTCTTAAACTAAATGAAGTCAATGCTGAGATAATAAGTGAAGGTCTTTTTAGTACCTCTGGTAATTCAAATCTGAGCAGTTTAGATGATTTAGCCCCCCCAAAAGACATTGGAACTGAAATTATCAACCCATCCGGCATGAAAATATCTCATGACAACCGTTCTGGTCTTGAGCCAGAACTCAGTACCCAAAAACTGATTAATTGGACTGCAAAAAGAATTGATGATCTTAGCAATTTCGACCTTGCCAATGTGGCAGTTGTTGGTAAGAGCAGTGAGGAAGCGATTCATGGGCATTTAGAGAGTAACAAGAGGAATGTTGAAATTACTGTATCACCTGAACACTGCCAAGCAAACCTAGAAACAAAGCTGGTTCAAAGAAATGAGTGTGGGAATTCACCTGAAATTTTGTTAGAGCAATGTGTTAATGAAGAAAGTTCTTCGGGTATGTCACATGATGTGGATATGGGATTATGCCCTGATTCCCCCAACAACCAGCCAATGTTTGATAATGACAATGATGTTCGTGACCAATTTGGTGATGTGAAGTGTCTGGAAAGTTATCAAATCCCAGAACCCCTGATACTATCCTTTGGAGATAGTTATTCAGCCCTTTTAAAAGAAATAGGAATTGGGGAAGATGATACAAATCTTGAGGTGAGTTCTGATGCAAATGACAACACTACCAAAGACGAAGATCGTCATAATAGACCATTGCTTTGGGACAATTACTCAACTCTCTTAAAAGAGAACCAACAAGATATTCAGGGGGAAGAAGAAGATAAGAATACTCAAATAAGCAATCATGATCATTTGAATGAATCGTGTGTTGGTATTGCTGGATTTCCTGTGGGCAATAATTCCACTGCCATTGCAGGACAAGATTTTAGTCTCTCACAACAGGAAAGCTGCGGGCTAAAAATGAAATCTTCAACAAATAAGGATATGATAATTTATGTAGCTGAAAATGACTCTTCCAAAATTGAGGTAACTAATAATTTAATCTTATATTACTCGTAATGGTTCCCGCTTTGTTGTCATATCCCATTGTATGTACTTGCAGGACTCCTTGAAACAGGGAATACCAGAGATAAACTTCAAAGAGCCTCATGAGATTGAAGGAAAAAGTAACAGTACGATATTCTCTAAGAACCATAAAGCTGCAAGTTTGCTTGAAAATATTACCAAGAATTTCAACAGCAAATACTGTAAAACCATGAAGAGGGAGACTTCCAACCATATAAAGAAAAATCTCTTGTTGCAGCCACAATGTAACAAGGTACCTACAAATATTGTATCATCTTCAACTTCTGAATTCTCTGACGTACCCTGTGCTTCAGAGTCAAAAATGAATAAGACTGATAAAATATGCCCTGAATGTGGCAAAACATTTTTCAAGGCATCCAATTTAACTCAACATCTTGGTAAATAGTACCTCCTTTCTTTTTACCTTAAAATCATATGTACCTATTCATTCACCTTAAAAAAATGATTTCAGGTTTACATTTTCCCAATATGAAGACATATGAATGTGGCATATGCAATATTTCATTCTCATGGAAGTCATCCCTGAATAAACATATGAATTCTCATTCGGAAAGTTTGAGACAGTACCTTTGTGACTTGTGTGGCAAACAGTACAAATCATTTAATCAGGTCCAGCAACATAAAAGAAGGGATCATGAAAGTCTTCGGCCCCATGTTTGTAGAACATGTGACAAAACGTTTTTCAGAAAGCATGATTTACTCATTCATCAAAGGTCAGCAAAATTCTTATAGATAGATTTCATTAAATAATCTTTTTTAAGTTTTCTATTTGTACCTTTATTACAGAATTCACACTAACAATAAGCCATTCATGTGTGAAATTTGTGGTAAAGTGTTTAACCATATTTCACATGTCAAGCGTCATGAAAATATTCACCTCAAAAACAAGCCTGTTAGACCCCAGTAAATGTTTAGCACCATCAACAACACAATGGTATGTAATCTGGCTTTTTTACCTCAATATAGCTGAGGTTCACATTTCTTTTAGAAGTGAATATTTATGTTTTGTTCAGGCTTGCACATACATCTGAAGAAAAGTATGAGGAAAAGGAACCATCACAACAGGATACAGAGGTAATTCTTTTAACGATTATCAAAACACCAATCTTCAATAAAAATGTGATAAAAAA